GCCACAGATTCAGCCACCGGTACATTCTCTGCGATTTTCTTGGAACATTGGCATACCTTCGCTAGTTTGGAGAAGATATCTTCCTCTACTTCTTCTTCAACACACTTGTGTAATTCAGATATAGTGTTGCCTATTTCTTTTGAATTTTTAGGACTTTTAAATACCTTGCTTAACTCTTTTTCAATGTTTTCTTCGTCAAGTTTTATCTTTTGAAGAGATATGTCGTCATCCACAGTATAATTACCACTACTAACCGCCATGCTATATAACAAAAAATATAACAGCCTATAAGTTCAGATACTGAATAGTGAAAAACATGTTCCGACATTCAATAATTGGCCAATTGGCTACAATGCTCACTTGGGAAATATTGACCCTGCTATTCTTTAAAAAAAAGATTTCCCTTTTTACTATCATGAAATATTTGAAACCCATACTGTTACATCACCCAGAACCGGGTGGTTTCTAATTTAATTTTTAATTTAAATGCGGACAAGAATGGGAAGCGATCAAGTGGAAAACAATTGATAATATCATTTAGTCTTGCTGCTCTAAAAGCGAGATCGGAAAACCCTCATCAGCCACAGTTGACTGTGTTTCTATTTTATTCCTCTTGAAATATCGGCAAAAGTATATGACCTTTCTTCTGATACATGAAATATGAAGATAACAATATTAATCAAGCTCAAAAGTCCATTGAAGCAATACAAATTGGGAGCAGAGCAAACACAGACTTCTAAAATAACAGAGATGGGATCACGTGCCATGGAAGAGACTGGTCACAGCCGACGTATGCTCCTTGTCAGGATCAGGCAAACGGAAATATCCGTAGACAATTTAGTGTGTAAATAAGGGTCTAACAGTTACATGCTGTATAAAAAAACTGATATCAACGTATTTGTCAATAGCTTGCATCCTAATCATTTTTTTATAATGTGATCGAAATTAAACTAGACTGATCAGATACTAGTCCAATTCAATTTGCGATTTATCTTTCTTCTGAATACGCTGAAAATGAATCATAAATTTATATTCGAATATTAGGTGATCGCATGAATATTCGAATATTCGTGACATCCCTAATTTATAGGCATCTACACATTGTACATGTACCATATCAGGAACCATGTTCAAGAGGAACAGAAATGTGTTCGGGTTAATAACATCCAAAAGAATCCTAATGAATTTTCACACTTTAATGAAATAAGTTATCAAAATGATTTATAATACACTTTTTGAATTTTGATATCATACCTGGACATTTTTTGTAGATTCTCGTCATATTCTTCTTTTGCATCAAGGACTGTGAACCTGGAAGTAAATAGTATCGATAGGAACCTAAGGAATGTTTACGATTAATAACGCAGACATAATCACGTTATAAAAGCAAATTTGAAATGCACAAGTATCAAGTTTACATGCAAGTTTAAATACCCTCCTGAGGAAAAGTTCCAACAATCAGTTTCTGTCGCAGTTGAGCTGTCATTATTAGCCACAGAACTATTACAAATTGATTTCCCAGTTTCTTCATCATCAATATTGCCCTCCTTCTCCATATTTGAAATAATTTATCTTTTAGGTCGTTGTTCTCATCCTTTCTATTGTTGGAAAATATTTAATTTGTATGGCATTCAGACACTCGATACTCGATTTTTTTTCCCTGATCATAAATTTATGATAATGTTATATAAGTCGTTAAAAATCTTCTCTGATAATAAATATCGCAAAAGAAACTGATATATCCTATGTAAAAAAAATATCGTTATTTCAAAAATAAACACAGACATAGCTTACATCTACTCCATATCTTGACCCAGTTCTGTTTGATATTGCAGTTTGGAACACAAAAGCTTTTTATATGCTTCAGAGGTTTTGATACAATACAAAAGGTGTGTTTTATTGCATTTAAAGACATGCATTTGATATATTGCAGTCCAGAAAAAACGTTTATAAGGGTGTGTTTTATTGCATTTAAAGACATGCATTTAATATATTGCAGTCTAGAAAAACGTTTATATAGGTGCGTGTATTGATTTAACGATAGAATTTTCGAATTTTAACCATATCAGGATATCAGAATATTAAAGGAGCTGGGTCAAAAAAAAAAAAAAAAATTCCAAACAAGGAACATTGATACGGTACACGTATACTTTATATCTCTCAATTTGTTAGTTATTTTCAAATCATTTCTATTCATATAATCATATACAACTGAACTCGTATGTAGCGTTGAAAATACCGCATAACGGGTATATATTTTCTGCGGTTGGAAATTTTTTCGATTTGACCCCTGAAAGTTATCAAATTAATTTCTACGTTTTCAATTTCTGCGGATGTATTTTACGGCAAAAAAGTATGGAGGGGATAAAAACACCAAATTCTAAGGATTGACATGTTTACGTTTTATAAATTCATTTAAAGACGTATTGATCAACGGTGCATGAGAACTGGTATACTTAACTCTGCTATCTTTCATGTAGTCTTCGTAAACTATTTACAAGGTTTTTTTTTTTTTGTTTTTTAATCTCATACATGCGTAAGACTAATTTTTTAAAGAGGTTTTGAAATAACATAAAATCAGGTCGAATGATCTGCCATTTATTTAAAACAATTAACACACTCATTAACAATAAAGTTTATTTAACAATAAATGTTTTACACTACTTCTTTTAAATAACCTATTAACAGGGACGTATACAATGTGTATAGGTCCCTGCTATTAATAATTAAGCATATCACTGACTGTGCTTGGGATGATTTGTTTACGTAAACACGGACATGACCTTCGAGTGCATAGTCAGCACATTGTCGTAATATGCTGAGAGTAATATTTGCATGGTTGTGCCCCCCCCCCCCCCCGAAAAAAAAATTAAACTGTAATACATGTGGCTTCACACGGCCTGTTGTGTCTTCATAAATGAAAAAAAAATTACCAAGCCCTACAACTTAGTCCGAAAAAAGTGACCAGATATAGATATTATACAATTATTGCTGCTTTTTGAGGTCAATATGATGATTTAGATACCTGAGGAGTACAATATTCACCGAGCCCGAAGGGCGAGGTGAATATTGTACTTCGAAGGTGTCTAAATCATCGTATTGGCCTCAAAAAACAGCAATAACTGTTTTATTATATGATTATCTATTTTTGGTCCAATGTTAAATAAATAATTCCTTATATTGACCTGGAAATAATTCCTTACATTGACCTGGAAGGTCACGTGCAGGTCAATATAACGTAGTATTTTTTCTAACATTGTTGGATCTCAGCCAATCAGAGAGATGGGAATTATTCAATCATATAATACTGCTTGATATTTTTGATTTTATTGAAATTAAAATAAATTTTAATATTGATCGCTTAGTATTTTAGGTACATATAATTTGTGACATTACCTACCAAATTTCTATCAAGTACATATATAACCTCGACCTTTTTAAGCAAATTTATTTTACATTTAGGGAAAACGTAAAATTAGGACTTAATTAAGTTAGTGGTCTTACCTTAATTAAAAGTCAAAATTTAATATAATATTTTTATAATTATTCATGAATATCAGCCTCTGGAGCTATATGAATGACATTCTATGGTCTGTTTAATTTTTTTGTCAGCAATGCCATCACTAATCGTCGCTAAATTTAATTAACTGTGTGACAAGTTTAGCGTTTATTGTAAATCGCTTCTCTCCCTTGTTGCGTGACGTCATAAGAGACAACGAGAAAATAGAAAATACACAATATATTGCCGTTTATGGAACATATTGTTGGCGAGATGGTGCTATGTGCGCTATTAATTGTACCAATAAATCGGGGCAGGACCTTAGTATATATTTATTTCCTAAGGACCTGAAATTGAGGAAAATATGAACATTAAAATTGAAAAGAGGTGGTTTTGAACCCAAACTACATGCGAAGCTTTCTGAGCGACATTTTTACATGAATCAGTTTACGGTTTAAAAATGACTCACGAAGTTCTTGGTTTTATATCAAAATTTATATTGTATATTAGTTTGTCAGTTTGGGTATTTATAGCCGCAATACTGTTAGGAGGGAAAGGTTTTTCGGCTTTTCGTTACTACACAAGATGGAAGAATAAATTAATTTATCTGTTCTTCCCGAGGCGCTGATATACCCATCCGACAAATCTGTGATAAACGAGATATCTGTAGAGTATAGGGAACATGGGGAATGAGAAAGGAAATACCATTTGCATGTTTTTTTGTTTTTTTGTTTGTTTTTTTGTTGTTTTTTTTTTCATTTTGTACATCAATGTTTTTCTCTTTCAGATAAATGAAAAAAAAATTGCTTAGCATGGTGAAAGAATCAATATCCAAGGGGTGGGGGGTGGAAGTGGGGGTGTTGGCGCAGACTGAATATGGGGGAGATAATTGACGAGCCAAAAAGATGCTTAATAAAGTTTGACAATCAAAAAAAAAAAAAAAAAAAAAATCCAAACTCTAAAGACCTAAAAGGGGTGGGTGGAAGTTGTCTTTCTGACTAAAAAAAAATGGATATTGAAGTGTGGGAGATTGAATGAACTATAACAAAACGAGGAGGGGGTTTGTTACCAGCCTTTCATGAAAATTTCCATTTTTAATTAACGAGGGATTCTTGTCTGCTTTCTGACTACATGAAATATTCAAAGTATATTTGCTTATATGTTTTATATATGTATTTAGATGTAAGAGATTTAAAAGATCATATTTTTCTTTCCTCATCACAATTGTACAACTTTAAATAGAAATTATAGTAACTGAGTTTGAAATCTAGCAGGGACTATATTTTTGGCGGAATGGCGGCGTATGAAAATATCTTCTTTTCTGCCTCTCAAAATAATTATTAGAACTATGAATTTAGTTATATTTTTTACACAATCAAAGACTTGGAAAATTTTTAAATGTAAGTTAAATTAATAATAAGGGACTTAAGTTTTAAAATATATCAAATAAATATGATTTTTCAAACAAACTACAATTATGTTAGCTTTTAAAAGCTTCCAATCTAAGTTCATATTTGAGCCAAAAATCCGTAAAAAGTGTTTTTTTCTCCCTTAGTAAACGGTCAAAACTTTTTGTTTTTATATCATTTTGTATCTTTATGTGACAACTTTACCATATGTTAAAATAAGAAAAATTTAAATATAGGAAGGATATAAAAATAACTAAAATATCTTAAAATTTAAAAAAAAAATAGAGAAAATTCGGATTAGCCAATATCCATTTTAGTTAAATTATTTATGTCAATTTGGTAATAGCGTCTTATAGACCCTATATGGTAATATCTCTTTATGCAAAAAGAAAAACATTTAATTTATTGAAATAGAAGTAGGCACCGCATGATTGGCAACAGTAATTTTTTTATTCTTAATGTCCAGGGAAAAGGTACTGACCTTGACCTGACCTTGCCTCTAATATAAAACGGTCAAACTTAATCTAACTGATACCATCACTTAGTGATACTGTCTTCTTGATTCTGTGAAAATTTCATTGATTTTCAAATATAAGAAATAAGTGTTCTTATGAGAAGAATCCCTCCTTTACATTACTTCTAGTAAAAGGTAAGAAAATAATTCTTTGAAAAAGTCAGGGGAGCACCCCCTCCCCAATACTTCGTGTCTGTAAAGCATTTTCATCGGATATTATACAGACTTGGTGATTTTATTTCTTGTTAGAATATATAGTAAAATATCCGTCTCAGAAATGACTTACTCATGAATGTGTTCATTTACCTCCAGTTGTCGTTTTTCTAGAATACATTCATTGTAAATTGTTTCCAAAATATATTTATTCGAACAGTTTAGGTAGGGGGTATATACTTTTTTATTAAAAAGAAAAATAAGTAACGTCAGGTGCTGTGCATTATTCTGAAATATTGAGAGCTTGGGTAAAAGGGATTAAATTGTGATCCTAATTTTAGAATAACATCTTTAATATTATCGGTTTCTGATGTTGATTGTCTCTTATATTGTCTCACAAAAACATGATTGTGTTTTAATTTTGTTCTAGTTAGCACTAGTATAATTTTACTTCGAAATCTACGTAATTGCTGATTATAAGACTACTTCTTTTGTTTATCACAGATAAAACTATTTCTTTTGAGCAACATATTTTCATTTATCAGTTTATTTTGAGCCCATTATAATTATTTCTGCATGTGGATGAATTACATGTAATGAACTTAAAACAGCAAAAGATAACCTTTGATAATTTTTATTTTTGATTTTTTTTTTAAAATTAAGTCAATATAAACTCGATATGGAAATAGATATAAACATCTTAGTATTTATATAAAATATAATTATATGTAGTATATATAGCGCGAAACGTCCCAGCGCGAAAGGTCTTTTGGGGCGAATGGTCTTGGTGCGAACCGTCAAATGGAGCGAAACGTCCTATTACCCGGTGGGTGCTCTACCAAGTGAGCTATCCAGGCTGATATCCACGGCCCAAACCATTACATAACATTACCGACCAAACTGACTTAATTCAATTTTATAATTTTCAATCAGATAAACTTGTTCCCTTTTAAACAACCTGTCATAGGCGGTTTTGTTTGGGGGGCTCAAAACGCCAGGGTACAAATTCAGGACGAGATGAAAATTCAAAAGAAGTTCCGATTGTTTTCGGAAAGCCTTGTACTTTTATATAAACAAGAAATCAATGAGGAAATATCCGTAAATAAACATTGACTAAATACATGTAACCGACAACTTGTCACACGACTTGTGTTCTAGCCTATGTAAGTATAGCAGTTTGCACGATTTTTGCAAAACCTTGTTTCTGCTGACAGTCCCTTTGACGAGTGCAAAAGTATTTTCTTCTGAAACCCCGTAAGTATAACACGGTCATGGAAACTTAATCTGTATACACCTGTAAAGCTGTATGCTTTACTTCCTTTTTCGACTGTTTACGTCGTCTTTATCATTTGCACGGGTATATGCACAAAACAATAGCACTGTTCTTTTAAAGCTATTTCGTAAGAGATGGGGAATACCCCTTCCAATTTTTGAAGAAGAAAAAAAAAACTAGGACCTTTACCAGTTTACATTTTTTTTGCGCTTTTTATATGCAGACATTTACGAGGTAAATCTTTTCACTTTTATTTATTATATGCTTGATGACAACCGTCATTGAATAATGTTTTTGTTTATTTATATTTATTTTTTTTTAATTTTAGACTCACAATCTAAGTGCTTTTGAAACACTGTACTTTTTGTAATTTGTAATACTGAAAAATAGGAATCGGTATTAACGGAACTAGCTGCAGATCTGTAGCTCACTGGTCTGAAAAAATTGGAATGGGCAACTATAAGTGAACTAGAAAGCTACAGGTCCATCCATGATTGAATAAAAAAAAAAAGGACATATAAAATGAGCACACTTGGGGAGTAATATCTCCTGATGTTTAAACTGTCACCTCAAAATATTTAATACCAAGCTTACATGTTCCTGTCAATCCCGACAAAATTTTTGGCTACTTCTAAGATAAAATGTACATTCATCTCAGCCCTAGCCCAAGCATGCCTTAGTGGGCATGAGATTGACAATAAAAATTTTGGCATATTTATAGCTGCCATTTTTGAATGGATGTATACCGTCAACAACCAAATTTTTACTGCTGTTTGTGCCAATGTAATTTTGTGGTTAACACCAACTTGTATTCAATTTAGTGAACTGACATGCTGACAAAGTAATTGCTTATGGGGATGTAAATTTGTGGAAAAGGATTAACCATAAAATCCATGAATATTGGTACTCAGGAACAATGACTGAGCAAATCAATAGTACCTTCATTGATAAGTGAATCAGATGTGTCTCAATTGAAAAAATTGGTAAAAATGAAATGACTAAGTGCTAATAAAGAGTCATTGAAAGGGGGGTTGGGGATGCTGCATCTACATTAAGTGAATAATAGTGTGTCCAAGTACCTGTAGATTTTCTCTGCAGGGATGTCTTGCTCGTTCTCTATAGTACCATGGATGGACAGTCTATTGTTGTATAGCGTCAGTAAACAGCTTGTACAATGTCACAAAATGTATGGTGGCTGAAATTTTTTGAAATATATAACCAGTGGCTGCTACATGTAAATTTTTAAATCACCAGAAATCTTCTTTATAATTACTATGCTTAATAATTACTCGTAATACTCTCAGGGTATTTTAGGGGTCATAGAAGGCCTGTATTCTGCCCCATTCCCAAGGTAAAAAGTATGTGTTTTTCCCAATTTCATAAAAGAAAATTACCAAAACACAATTGAAACAAACAAAAATGGTAAAAAGGATTCCAAAATCAGTAACTTGTATATCAGGAGTGGTGTTCAAATAAAATGTAAAAGGCATACTCCAAAAACTGATTGACTGAATGTGAATTAAGTCAATAAATTCTTTGCAAATGAAAAAAATCCCAACCTTTTATTTGAATTTATTTAGAAAATGTTAAATATGATATTTTCCCTAATTTCAACCAAGTGTCACTATTTTTCCCAAATGGAAAGACCAAGGCCCTTGATTTTAAGACCTAAGAAAAAACCCTGATACTGTAGCAATAAGATTGCATTTTAGATGCACTTTGCACAAGTCTGTCAAAAATTTATTTATTAATTATTTCTTCTAAACAATTTTGTAAGAAATTTGGTTTTAAGAAATTGTAACACTGAAAAAATGACATCAAAGTTTTGTCTTTATCACAGTTGAGGTGGGCGTGTTTACACTGATCATCATGACAACAGAGGGAGTGTTTGCTGGTTGTCAGGTAGTCCTTGACCTCAGCACCAGTGTAGGTTTCAAGAAGAAACAGGAAGTCAGGAAAACCATCACAAACAATGGTGGAATTATCTCGTACATTGTCACAAAAAAGGTAAGAAGCATATTTTTATAATTATTTAAATTAAAATTATTTTTTGCAAGGTTAAAATATCTACACTTGTAAAAGTGTTGAAGTGGTGTACAAAATTGACTGTTTTAAATGAAGCAGAAAGGTTTAAAAGTTTTTAAAATTCTCAAAAAGTACATGCATGTATTTTGCATATGGATTGGGTCATTAAGTGGCCCCATTTATAGACAACTGAGAGCCCTGATGAAGGGCCGCTATAAGCTAATAAGATTTACGCATTCTTAATGCCGACTTTTCTTACAGAGTACCCATGTTGTGCTCAATGATCCAGAGAAAGCTGATGTCAGCTACAAATGTAAAATGGCTGAGAAGTTCCGAATCCCCGTGGTGTCCCTCGATTTTATTTTTGACTGTGTTGACCAGGGGAAGCAACTCAACACTGACAATTATCTCCTAGTGGGTAAAACGAAGGCCCAGGAATTCAGCAGCGGCAAAATTATGGGTAAGGATGAGAAAAAATAAAAATAGAATCTCAACAGCTGTTTGAGACTTTCTGCAGTATAAGGAAGGTTGGTCGGCCATTGTTTGGCTTTACATCACTTTGAGAATGCTGAGTCATCATTAATTAATTGTTGGTTGAGAGCTGCAAATTTAGACCTATACATAGCATTTAATTATGAGGAAGGAATTCAAATAGGGAAGTTGTACAAAGACTGAAATGCTTTTAGAATTATATTTTTTGTGTCAGGTTCTTTCTTGTTCTAATTATTTATTCAAGAACAAGTTCATTGATGATTATGAAAGTCAATCTGTTATGACATTTTAATTGATGATTAGTGCATTGCACATTAACAACATAAGCAACATTTACATAAACTTAAACATTTTTGATACATCTGTAAAGAACTTTTAAAAAACAAAGGTTATTGATTAGATGTTTATTTTACAAAATGAATTTTAATTTCTATATCAATGAATTAATTTCAAATTGGTAAAAAAAAAAAGGATAACATCCATTTCGCAGCTAGGTTAAGGACTCCCACATATACGTCAGCCTATGCAGAGGTTTGGTAAAGTTATTATGACGTCACGTTAAAACAATACAAATGAATCTCGATGAATAAATACCATATTTTCATTTTAAAACACACTAAATACTTTCGTTTATCATAAATATTATAAAGATAAATGGATGTGCAACCTATCTTGCCATAATAGCACTTAGCGTATATAGAATGAAAGCATGAAGCTTGATCTCGCTGTACTTACTGAGATGACGTCATTTCTTAGTTTGACACGCAATTTCTCTGTACTTGAGGCGTGGATCAAGCTTTTATTGTAGCTTGTAGAAATAAAAATAAATACGAAACACGTGTAGTCAGACCAAAAGAGAGAAATATTCTGAAGTATATTAATCCACATTTTATTGTCAAATTAAATTGATAATGTGTAGACTTTATATAAAGCCGTAGGGAGCACATTTGTACAGTAACGTGCTAGAATGACATGTCCAGCCCCTCGAAAATATCAAAAGTTCAACGATATCCGCTTCACTATAAATTCTGAATTTTTAAACACGTATAGCTATTATTCCTGCTATTCTGAAAAGTGCTGGGAGCTGGTTTGCATTGTTGATTTATTCCGTAATGTAACATTATTCCAATGCGAATTACATTTTTGACTGGAGTTTATAGAAAGACGGCTAAATTTTAAACAATTCCCGAGCATGAGGAAGTTGCTCCCGGCACTTTTCGTGTTAAGGAATTTGTCTCAAAGAAAACAGAACAAATCTTATAGCCGAAAAATGCCCGTATATTGTTGAACTTTTATGACCTTTGTAGTAGTACATATATGTTCTAATTTTAAAACTGTCACGTGACAAACAGCTGATGTAAGCGATGTCGCTTTGGCTGAACTCAGCAGAGTCCCGATATATACAAGTGCAAACACCACAAATCACATTTATCAAAACTAATGCTGTTAAAAAAAATATTAGAATTGTATTCATTTTCCCTGAATATATTAAGGCGTATATTTCATGGGCGTCCTTAACCTAGCTGCGTTTTTTTTCTTTTTGAAAAGCTGGGAAATCTGGACCTAAACCTGAGGGGAAAAAGAAGAAAACGGTGTCTAGTTTTAATCCGAAGTCGGTGAGAGTTTGGCAGGAGAGGGATAAGAACATGCCCCAGTTTGATGACGGAAGTGAATTGGCCAAATTTGCCATGCTTCAGGTCGGTTATATACTATCGATCATGTCTTTGGTTAAAAAAAATTCCACTGTTGAATATTTTTATGGTACATTTAGCAAATTTTTAACAAGTACTAAACTGCAAAAAATTGAAAGATCTTTATATGTTTCTGATCATGTTTGATTGATACCAGAGAATTATTATTTTTAGACAAATTGATCAAAATTGTGAATAATCTAGGATCCTTACAGATATTTATCTGTTTTACAGAAATATGACAAGAAAACACAAATAACACAGTTCTGTGTGTTAGAGATTCATGCATCCAGAAGAGTTATTGCCCTTGACAACAAGGAACAGTCCCCTAGGTTCTGTATTTGCTCTCACCTTGGCAGTGTGCAGGAAGTACAGGTGTGTTACATATGAAATAAATGAACATATTGAATGTGACAAAATATTACATTTGAATTTGGCCAATGGGAGACTTTTGGGTACATATATAATCATGTATTTTCTTAATTTTCAAGGACAAGCCAGGTAGTGGCACTAGAGAGTTCCGTTTTGTACAGACATCGGAGGAAGCCCTGAGTGTGTTTAGTGCCCTCTATAAACAGATGACAGAGTCCCCTAATGGCATGACCATCTGTCGGAAACCCCCATGTCAGAATATAGGATCAAAGAAATTCCAAAAGGTAGAGGGAAACAGGAGATATTGATACAGTATACAATATATCTTTTAACTTTATAGATTGTTACATCATTCCTAACCATATGATCATGTCATTTTACAAAAATATGAAATACAGCTGACCTTATACATGTATGTAGTTGTGAAAATATCAAGCAAACAATTATTACTTTGAGAATGAATTTATTCAGAGTACTATTATGATTTCTAGTGTAAACTATGTGGTAAATTGAATCTTTGAATTAATTTTTCTTCCATAACATTCAGATGATGGTGGAGTATGGTATGGAGGATACAGAGTTATCTACCCCTGTGAAGGAGTTGATGCATCACATCTGGCAGGAAGCTGGGGGCGAGATAGAGGAAATCTTAAGTAGCCCACTACAGTCACTGAAACTGGACCAGGTCAGTAGGTTAGGTCACTGCTATACAGTTACTGAAACTGGACCAGGTTAGTAGGTCACTTCAGTCACTGAAACTGGACCAGGTCAGTAGGTCACTACAGTCACTGAAACTGGACCAGGTCAGTAGGTCACTACAATAAATGAAACTGGATGAGGTCAGTAGGTCACTACAGTCACTGAAACTGGACCAGGACAGTAGGTCACTACAATAAATGAAACTGGACCAGGTCAATAGGTCACTACAGTCACTGAAACTGGACCAGGTCAGTAGGTCACTACAAATGAAACTGGACTAGGTCAGTAGGTCACTACAGTCACTGAAACTGGACCAGGTCATTAGGTCACTACAATAAATGAAACTGGACCAGGTCAATAGGTCACTACAGTCACTGAAACTGGACCAGTTCAGTAGGTCACTACAATAAATGAAACTGGACCAGGTCAGTAGGTCACTACAATAAATGAATCTGGACCAGGTAATTGGTCACTTCAGCCACTGAAATGGTATCAGGACAATATGTCACAGCAGTCACTGAAAATGGAATCAGGTGAATAGTTGCTACAATATTGACACTGGACCTGGTCAATACACTCTCTGAAAATGAATAAGGTCAATAGGCCACTACAGTTGGTGAAACTGGACCAGGTCAAGAGGTCACTAAAGTTACAAGAAATGGACCAAGTAAGTGAGTCATACAGTCACCAGGAGGTTAGGTCACTATAGTCACTGGACCAGGTCAGTAGGTCACTACAGTCACTGGACCAGGTCAGTAGGTCACTACAGTCACGGGATCATGTCAGTAGGTACCATAAGTACTGAAACTGGACCACACCATTAGCTCCATACAGTCACTGAAACTGTGACAATAGATTTAGTGGTTATTTAATAGTACTCAGTTTCTGTAGTCTTGCAACAATTAGTCAAATATCACTTGACAAAGCAACAGATATTGTCATAAAGTAAATCTGACATCCCTATTTCTAATTTGAAAATGTTAGGTTAACTTTTCAAGAAATTCCACAGACCAGTTAAATGAAAAATAAATGACGTTCATTGTAGGTGGAGAAGGCGACGGCCATTTTGTCAGAGATGAAGGAACACCAATCAGATGAGAGTAAGCTACAGAGTCTGTTTACAGAATTCTACTCCACCCTCCCCCACAATCCCCAGCACAAGACAATGACCTTCACCATGTCGTGGCTGGCCAGAAAACTGGACCTTTGTCAGGTACAATTTTTAATTCAAATTTAATGCTTGTTCTTGATATGGAATTTCATTGTTCCAATATTCTGACGTGGAAGTTATCGATGATTTTATTCAATATGTAAGAAAAAGACAACCATTTACTGTAGAAATTACTTCTGGATGCATGTTGTGAATTGATATGAAACTGATTTGCAGGAAATTTTAAGTATAAAAAATTGCATGGTATTCAGTTTACTTGTATATTTTTTAAAGCTGACTTTTATGTTATTTAGGAACATTACCTATTTCATTAAATTTATAGGCCAAGATTTAATATATAGATAGTATTAGAAACTCACAATAAAACAAGCTAGACATGCAGGGATGCCTGCTAAAGTTTTTAGTCTTGCTAAAAAAGATCTTCTAGCCCGAGAAAATAACAGTGATCATGAGACTGGGACCAGGACATCATAACTTTGATCCCAAATCAATTGACTGATGAATTTTGCCCCATGGCTTGTTATCCCCTTGCACTGGGGGGGGGGGGGTATAGTTATGCAATTGTTTGTTTGTTTGTGGGTATGTAATGTCCAGTGCAAAAATGGAAGTGACGTAATTTGTATCAAGATCGATGTTGAATGCTGCCTTGATTTATGGATATGCTCTTTGCAAGGGGATGCTCCACTTTGCAGTATCCTTGTTATACCTTGCTACAGGTGCTATCAGTTGATTAAAGAGTGGCTTTTTAAAAAGTGTACATGTATTTTGAATATTGGAAATTTTAAAACATCCAGCCTGGCATTGATAAATGCAAAAGTGTTCATCTATGGCAGTGCGTCTCGGGTTGTTAGATGCACTGTTATTCACACACTGATTTAGATGAATGAATTTTTGTCTTTTAGCTGATTAAGGATGTGGTGTCAGTAAGTGAAGGCACAGACTGGTCTACGCGGGGGAACACGGAGGCCCAGTATAAAGCCCTCCGATGTCAGATATCACACGTCTCCGGGGGTCTCCCAACACCAGTCAAAAATGTCCTCAATCTGAAAGAGTAAGTACAAACCTGTGATATAAGTCAGATACAAGTATGCTGTTGAGTCTGATAAAGACAGTCAAACATGTCTTTAATACATGTATTAAAGAGTTATATTAGAGGGGCTGCATGGTTTCCTGTAACAATAACTAATTACTGGTTAGCTTTGAAAAACAAAAATATCATTCCATATATAATAAACAACATCTAATTTCCTTTGATATAAACTTTTATCCTTGAATAGTAATAAGAAAGTATCAAAAAGTAACCTAAAAAAATACCAATTACATGTACATGGATAAAGAATTTTGTGGGAATATGTTGAGTATCTAAAGCAGTTAAAAAAAAAAAAACATAATGTGCCATTACAAAGCACATTTTTAGAGTATTGGATAAATTGTGGCTGTTATATTGCATTCTGAAAATAGAGCTCAGGGATAATAATAGAACAACCAATAAAGTGAAATAATGTTTTTATAATCAAGAGCTTTCATTGAATCAACCAACAATCAACTGATTTTGGATTATAAGATTAGAACAACACTACTAGGGAATTCATATTCAGTTGCATGAGTATGAATTATCAGATCCCAGATATCAATTATACCTGATGCTCTGCATGCCTAGGAAATAATGGATATCTTAATATGAAAGTTTAAGAACTCACAGAAATTAACTTTTAAATTTAGAAAATGTATAGAATTCAGATATCACTTGTACACTGGCTTAGTGGTCTGTCCTAGCTGAACAGAATATCAAAGGAAGTTAAAACATATCATGTTCAGATTTGATAAACACAGGGGCCTAATACATAAAGATATTGTTATCCATGGTGAATAGGGGCTGATTTGTTGTACAGAAAACATCTTCATATTTCATGTACGTATTGCTTTCTCTTTATTTCAGTGAAGATAAGTTGAATGTTCAGAATGTTTACGCCGTTCATCGTCCTGGAGAAAGTGAGGTGTTCCGGTCAGATTTGGATCATAGACTTCTCTTTCATGCATCCAATGTGGAGAATTTTGTTGGAATTCTATCCAGGTAATGAATGCTAGGCATTACCTTTGATGCCAATTGATGCATTTTCATTTGTGTAATGTTGATGTATAACATCATTGTGATTGATAGACATGGGATAGAGTGAGTCTGCCTGCCATTGATAAAATCATTCTAGATCTTTATTTTGCTTTATCAACAATTTAAACTTAAAAATGAGCCCAGTTATTGACTTTCTTGAATGGATGTTTAACAGAGGTCTCTTGATGCCAAAGATCGTTGTCGATGACTACGGAGGGAAGAGAACAGACCCAGGAATGCTGGGAAATGGAATTTATTTTGCCAGTTCTGCCAGGTCTGTCTATATATAAGTAATGACAACGTCAAATTTATTTAAAAACAAGACATTTTACTTGAAATGATGTATTTAAATTAAAACCTGTGTTACCTGAAATATTGTGAACAGGTTCAGATCGCAACATTATTATATTTTAATGAGTAAAAATTGAGAAGGCTTTGTTATAGACAGACAAACATAGAATTATAGGGGGAAAAAGGGGAATTTTTAAAATTTTTCACAGTGAAAGTGTATTATTGTTCCTTTTAATTGAAAACAATGAGAACTTGGAACAGTAAAACAGTAAAAGTTATATAAATTTATCTATTTGCAGTAATGTAGTCTAATGGTTAGACAGATCAACTGCCCAACTTTTGTAAAATAATTTTTTTTTTGTACAGTATTAATAATAAAAAAGTGGATAATTATAATGTCTAATACAATTCAATATGTATGTTTTCATCCTTTGTCAAGCACAAGCATAAAATACTCAAAGCCAAGTAAAACCCGGAACACACGAATGATGCTAGTCAATCTGGTGGCACTGGGGAATACAATGGACGTCTACACGTATCAGAGGGACCTGACAGCTCCACCTAGTGGCTATGACAGTGTTCACGGAGTGGCAGCTTCTGAGGGTGTAGAATCAGACTTTAAGGTGAGTTAATTGAGGAGATCTCCATCCCAAATTAATGTACTTGAGAAGGGATAAGGATCCTGTTGTGAAGTAATTTTAGTATGTTTCTTGTAATGGAGTGATTGATGTTTCAAGGCATACACAAACAAGTGACAATGGTAATTACAATAATGGTACATGTATAACCAAGAAAAAACAGACCCCCTCCCCCCAAACAGCCTAACCCACCCTAACATACCTAGAAAACATTTTATTGAAAATAGGATGAAGAAAAATAAAATGACAACCAGATATAGCTTGATATTAGGATTGTACAAGTCAATAGTAAGATGACTTCAATATGAATATGCACACAATACTGTGAAACTCTGTGCTTGATCTCCTGAACTTTGATACTGTGTTCCCCTTGAGTACATTTGTACCTTTTATGATAGGATGATGAGTATGTAGTGTACAATACAAACCAGCAGATGTTGAGTTATTTAGTGGAGTTTACCGTGGGAGGGGAGATACCAGACGAGCTGTCGATGGAGGAGGAGATAGAAAGGGAGACAACTGACTCAGACACTGATGTTGGTTAGTTCAATCATTTGAACTATAATTGTTATACTACGTGTATATTAATATACAGAATTTTAATAAATATACTGTATGAAAATTTTAATTGTTTCTAAAGGAAAAGTAACTAGTGTATTTTGTATGTGACTGTCCTCATTCATAGAAATCTTTTGATTAGGGTGAATTCACCATGCGTCCGACACCCTCCTACCTCAACAAGTTCTAGCAATATCGCTACCGATCGAATATCATCATAATAGAGTTTAACATGTAGTATGGGATTAAAATATAAATTTTTGACTCAGATATATGCAATTTATTGAGAAAATATCACTAAAAACAGATTTTTTTTTTAAATGAGCCAGATTTCACCATGGATCAGACAGTGCTCTCCATGCATCGAACAAATGGTATTTAATCTGAGAAAATGTCATACCTTTATCTCTGCAGTGCTTTAAAATTAATGATCTGGAAATATTTTTACCTTTTATTTAAAATTAACCTTCTAGTTAAATTTGATTGACTACATCGATCCACAAATGTGGGAGATTTTAATTGCATCACCTGCTTTTAGAAAGGCTTTACAATGCGATTTATTTGTCAACTCGTACCTTTGTCTCGTGGGTTATCATACTCTGGTTTGTAAAAATAAATTGAGTCCAATTCTAGATGTCATGTATCGATAACTTGTATATTCACAGAAAATTTAGAGTTTTTATTTTCTATTTCTGCAAAAAACAATTGTCAGTTGAGTACTATATGAAAATGGAAGTGATTACCCATGCATCGGAAAGTGACCGATGCATGGTTAATTTGTGTCCGATGTACAGTGAAATGAATATACTAGTAAAGAACAACTCTGAAAAAAATTATACAAACATAGAAGTAAAATTTCTTTAAAAGTTCTGTAAATTTGTCAATCATTGACAAATTTCACCTAAGTCCAACTCGTTCCATTTAAGTAAAAGGGCAACTCTAAAAATTTGCAAAATCATAAAATTCTGGTTATCCCCCTTTGATGATGTAAAATATGACATAACTTCAAGGCCATTCTCAGGGTATTTTTATCACAACATGATGATAAAAATCGGCATCATTAAAAAGTTTAAATCTTTAGCTTCAAAACAGAAACAAGTAAAAACACGGGAATAATCAGGTTTAAAGAAAGTTTATTGCTTGAAGTTGTCTGAAGCAAGGTATGTGTCTGATGCATGGTTTACTCACCCTACATGTATTGAAGAGTATTCAAAATTTCGCACAAAAGTAAAATTTAGAATAAATAGGGCTGTTCTGAACTGCCTTAGTTCATGTTTGCTTTATTTATGTGTATAAAATTGATTTTGGCAATGATCATGAGTCACATGCATTTGAACCTGCTAGAAAACAAAGAAGCGGTAATTTGTTTGTTTTGCAGACATCAATGATGTAAAAAATGTGACAGACCCTCTGACAAAGGTCAAGGTCGGACTGGTATCCAATGATGACACTCCTGTATCTCTCATAGAAGCCCACATTAGAGCAAAGTTGATTGACCTTGCAGGAGAGGTAATGGAAACCAAAATGGATGAAGTAACATAAAAAATAATTGTTGTTGTTTTAATTAATCAGTCAATATCCTTTAATACAAAGACACGTTACAAGCCATCAGAGATATAGAGTCAAAATTTCTTATTTTTCAATCAGATTATGCATGTACATTACAATATTATTCTTTGTTGAACATTCAATAGATACATGTAATATTCATCATTTTTTAGTACTGCTTGGTGCCAAATATGACTTAAACAATGTATAAACGTGAATTTAATTTATCAATAATCAAGTTTGTTCTACTACCATATAAGGGAATTTTCAGTGAGACGCAAATTTAGCGATTTGTCCTTCGAAATCAGTATTTAATATCGGAAGAAGTAACTTAAGCAATTTTATGGCACATGGAAAGATAATGATAACCTCTAAATAATGGTCAGGAATAAATTGTAAGCGATTTTTAATTTTAACGATCTCAGTACCCTTACTAAAAAGCCAAATTGAATCCTTGCCAAAATTTTGGCTTATACGGTATGTATTCTTGTGTTTGAATACAACAGGTTGTAGTTCTACAAGAGTACCACAACAACAGTGACAAAGCTCTGGAAGCCAAGTATGTCTTCCCTCTGGATGATATGGCTGCTGTCTGTGGGTTTGAGGCCTTCATCAATGGTAAACACATCATAGGGGAGGTGAAAGAGAAAGAGACAGCACATAAAGAATACAAACAGGCCATAAAGGAGGGGCACGGTGCATACCTTATGGACCAAGATGAAGAAACACCAGTAAGTAAAAATAATGTGGAGAAATCATGAAATGTTTTGGCTTCTTTTCTCTTTTGTAATTGTGAAGCAAAGCGTTATTGTGAGTTTTTTTTATTACCTAAAAATGCTCCTTATTTACATTGAAAAGTGAGCACTTAACAAGCATTTTTAATGATTTTAATTTCTTGAGATTTGCATCTTCATATGTCTTTTAGATTTTTAATCAAGAGCATTATGTTTTCAAAGAATACATTTTATTAAATTTTAAAATTGATTATCTGTTGGTATTGTGTTAATCTGTATTGTAGCTCAGTTGTATTCATGTAGGTTTACAAGAAAGTGTCATTGGTTAGCTTTACATAAATTCTACACATTATTAAGCTAAACTGCCTGGGTAAATAAAGTGAGCACTCAGTTTTGATTTCTTATTAGGAAGTTTTTACGGTGAGTGTAGGAAACCTTCCCCCTAAGGCTACAGTCATCATTAAGATCACCTACGTCACAGAGCTACAGGTCGAGTGGGAACTCATCAACTTCCGTCTCCCTGGCAGCGTGGCGCCGTGGAAACAGAAGTATGTTGATGCTCCAGAATTCAAAGACAAGGTTTGTGCATTTTAAAATAAGGACAGAGAACTGAAATTTGCAGTTTTGATATATAAGTTATTAAATTCAGCTATCAGGGGGAAAATATTGAATTGTCCAATTTTCTGAAAATGGAGTTATTATAATACAAAAGAAATTTAAGAAATGATACAGTCTAAAGTGCTCTTTCAAATAGTTTGTGTTTTGACATGTTGGTATGACTTGTTCATGTATGATGTGTATGTTAAACAACCCTCAATTGTTTGATTGATGCACAGTGCTAAAATGGAAAGAGGAAAGATTAAGTGTAAGAAGTTATATGATGATTTCTGTCTTTCATATCAGGACTGGGATACAGTACAAGTCGAGGACACTGACTGCAGTGTACAGGTTTACGTGGACATGCCTTTTGACATCAGGAGTCTGGAATGTCCAACTCACAAAATACTTGTTAAGGTACGACCGTCATTATACTTGTCTGGTAAATTTTGATGAAAAGTACAATGTACTATTGCATTAGACCTTTGGCATTGTATTGTATTATTTTGAAACCTCTACTTAGTTAATAGACAAAACATTTTCTTTTTAACAAAGTTTGGTTTGACATTAAAATGCTATAGGTAGTGATGACACCTTAAAAATTTTTGAAATTACACCTTAGATAAAATATTTTGTGAAAAACTTCCACAGATGTAGGTAGTAAAAATGTACAGCCAGTAACTGCACAGGGTGTTAAGTACATTTTAGGTGTGTTATTTTGTAGAGAACTGCCACACAAGGTGTTTAATACATCTATTTTGTTGTATTTTGTAGAGAACTGCCACTAAAGCTACTGTAGAGATGAAAGAGGACCAGACAATAGAAGATGGCTTCCAGCTGCTGATTGGTCTAGCAGAGATACATGTGCCGCGGATGTGGGTGGAATCGGATGAAGGCGAAGATTCACAGGTATTCCATAATAGTTGTGTATTTACCTTTTTCTTATTATCTCAACTAAAAAAGAATAAGCTTGATAAATGCTTAAAAAGCATATTAGGTACAAGTGCAAGTTAAAGGAATTTAATTAAACTTAGCCTTTGAAATTAATTTTTTTATTTTAAAAGGATAATGTTGTAACAGTTTTTAAAAAGCTAAAATTAGATAGAAGACATAATATACTTTGCATTTTAATATGCATAAAATTTTTTTTCAGCACAGCATATATTTACTGCAAATTCATGCAAGATACAATTCTTAAGAAAGTCTCAGATAAAAGCACTTTTGGTTCATTTGAATTAAGGTTTTAAATGCCACTGAGGCTAGCTAGACTCTCACAAATGTTTTACTGAGTCTAGTTTTCTGTCAGTTACTGACCACTGGATTGTCAGTGATTTACTTACCAGGCCTGTATGCTGACGTTTTACCCTTAGTCTAAGTCAATGTCAGTTATTCACTGTTGATAATTTACTGGTTTTATTACAGGCCTGTATGCTGACCTTTTACCAAGAGCCAAATCCTCTGTCAGTTATTCACTGTTGATATGTTTTCTGGTTTACCAGGCCTGTATGCTGACCTTTTACCCTGAGTTTGAGGCTGAGGAGGAGTCAGAGGTTGAGGTCATTTTGATGATTGACAGCTCCAACTCCATGAAAGGCTCCGCCCTACAACAAGCCAAGAAGGCTGCTCTATTGACTCTTCACCTCATGGAGTCCAGTTGGAGGTTTAATGTGGTGTCTTTTGGAACAGGTACCATTTGGGGAGATGAAAACAGTAATAACAAACCTGCCTATAATGAATTCATGCTAACAGCCAAGTGATTTTCATTCCCTGTGATTTTAAAAATTCTATTATGAACTTATCTGGAATTACAAATTAGGCTTGTAACAAAATCAGAATTGTTTGTCTCTGTCACTTTGCTGAAATGTGTTTTTCTCATACACTGTCTGTTGAGAGACATTGTCCCAGATAATATGTGTCTCCATTATCTATACATATTTTTTTAATTTTTCAAAAATGAATTATGCAAAAGTACTGTCATCATTGAAATTCAAGTTATCTTTTGTTGAATTTTGTATGTTTCAGCTTTCCAAGAGCTTTTCCCATCCAGTCAGCCTGCTAGTAAATCCAACATACAGACAGCAAAACAGTTCATACAGGCAAGAAATAAGAATTACTAACACCCAGGATCAGTGAAAATTATTACTGCTAGTATATTTATTATTAATTTTTCTTTTGATTTCTCCTTCAGAGGCTGCAAGCAGATCAGGGTAACACAGAACTTTGCCGACCTTTGAACTCTTACTACCTCCTAAAGCCAGAGAGTTACACCAGAAATTTATTCCTTATCTCTGATGGCCATATCAACAATGAGGAGACTACTCTGTCCAGAATCACCCAAAATTACCAGCATACAAGGGTCTTTACATTAGGGGTCAGGTAATGTCAGAATTTATTTTATGAAATTTATGAACAATAACATCTGCACAATTATGTAGTTAGTAAATTGATTAATATTATTAATTATTTTTTTTAAAGGGGGGATTGCAAAAGTTAAAATATTACAACATTTCTGACTTAACTAGGCCGAGTCTAATTATTTCTACCCTAGAGTTTTTGATAAATTTTCTTGAATTAATTTTTACTATAATTATACATGTATTTATTGTTTTAAGATTAAAAAATGAATGTTTACCGTCCCGATTTCTTAGGGGGCCATCTCAAAAGTTGTCAAATTTTACTATAGAACCCTATGGGAATTTGTTGGAAAAGCACCATATTACCTCATTTTCCCCATATTTTTTGTATTTCTGCCCTAGAGAGCCAAGAACATGAAAGGTATTGTAAAAAATCACCTAATTGTGAAATTTCAAAAAAGTTGACCATCTAGGTTGGTGTAGGAATTATTACAAAGCTTATTTTTTCAATGCTCAATGCCTCAAAAATTGTCATATTGTGGTATATGTATATATCTGTGCAGATGAATTATCGGCACAGATGAATTATTTTGGTAAAAAATAGCAATGTTTAGGTTGCTAGTATGTTTCTTTTGATGTTCTGCCAACAGTTCTTAGTCAAATATCCATGGAAATCTTGAATATACAAGCGAGTCGTGCAATTCTTCAGCGTCATGCATTGCTTTCAAAATCGGAAAACAGTGACGTCGTTAGAGCCATTTCAGCGTTTTTCCTTAATTATTGTCGTAAAAGCACATTTTCAGACCCGAAGGCGTTATAGATAATGTTAATTTTGTATTAAAATCACAATATTTGGGAAAGGTGTAATGTCGCACATATGACAGTATGAAATTAAAAAGCTGCGCAAAGTCATGCGCACTCGAATTAGACTCGGCCTCATTAAATTTTATTAGATTTACAGTAACTGTCTACTCTTTTGTTTAAGTATATTAATAATTTTATTACTTTTTTTTCTCATTTTTACAGCTCTGTGGCTAATCGTCACATACTGAAAGCTGTTGCCAGAGTAGGAGCAGGGTCATTTGAGTTTTACGACTCCAAGTTCAAATCGAAGTGGGAGGATAAGGTAAACATTACAGTAAAACTTTGTTATCTCAAACTCAATGGGACCTAGAAAAAACTGTCAGATTTCCAAGAATTCGAGACATCAGGCGTAAAATACTTAAAGAATAAGTGGTTTGGACTTCCAAATCACTTGGACATATCCATGATATTCGGCATATCTGTGTTTGAGATTCCAAAGTTTAACTGTATTTATAAAATTGAAAAAGATAATTTTTAAATGTCTTTTTGTGGCAGCGATTTTCTTTCTCCCTATTTTTTTCTCCTCTACAATCAACCTTATTGACTTGTGTTAGCTTTTTTCCCTCCTTCTCTGCAATTAGATCATATATTATTTGTCTGTTTTAAGATCAAGTCCCAGTTACAGAAAGCTGCCCAACCAGTGTTGACCTCTGTGTCTGTTGATTGGCGCCATGACGACCAACACCCAGCTCCCATCCAAGCTCCGCAGCAAATAACAGCTCTGTTCAGTGGGTCCCGACAAGTCATCTACGGCTTTGTGGACAATTGTTACATGGTTTGTACTACATGTATTTTACATAAAGAAGCCATAATATTGGATGGCTTCTTGTGGGAGTTTTCATTAAAAGAATAATTAATTTCAGATTTTTTGGTCCTACTAATTTGTAAAGATACAGGGACCATTATTTGTGAGATTATGTACCAGTCAAAGAAAAGTGCTTTGTCTAGTGTATATATAATTTTGTGTTATATTAACATTCTAACTTAATGACATTGTGTTACTATTTCAGGCAACTCTGAAAGCAGAAGTCGGAGGTCAAGAGATATCAACTGTTGTGTCGACCTCTGACCTTAGTGTCACAAAGGGCAAGGTCAGTTTCACAATTCACAGATAAAAACAAAACCATCCTCAGGCTGATAGGATGCTAGAAATAAACAGAATGTTTGGCTTTGTGCTATAAGTTACATCAATTCTAAACCCTCAAGAGATTATACATGTATAAGACAACTTTCTGATGATCTTTTAATTTTCTTCTGAATTCAGCGCAGCTCCCTATGTACCATTATGTACAAACATCAGCCATGATTTTGATTTATTTTTAGATGCTGCACAGACTGACTGCGAAAGGGGTGATAAGAGATTGGGAAGATGGAGTTCTTTCCCCTGACAGGACAGGACATGAGGTAAAAAAAAACAAAAATAGAATTTGTTATATATTGCCATTGGTGAATCATTTTCTAAGCCATAGGTATCTTAAAATGCTTAAAAACATAATTTTATATATTGCTTTGTAAATTAATGTACAAATAGGTACCAATAGTGCTGATTTGTACGCACTCTTCTATTATCATGTGACATTTCTAAAGTACAAAAATGCAAACATCATACATACCGGTACATGCATATGTATGTATGTTTGGATGTTTTACAGTATGTGCAAATTTATGGAAAATAAGAATTCAGCATTAATATAAAAAGAGTTAAGAATGGAACAGTCCAGCTGGTTAAAATAGGCATTTTATACTGTAATCACATTAATCATTCACCTGTATATTCAATTCTGATTTTTTAATAATTATTTTATAGTTTAAACATGTAATTAAGGAATGAATAAGTCATATAACTGACAAGTTACATGTATTTGATTTTAATAATTATGAAAATGTATTATTCACTACAGTATGTACTAAACTATTTTTTCTGAATTTCAGGTGAAGAAAATGAATCTGAAGCAGTATATTATAGAGTTGAGTAAGAAATACACCATAGTCACTTCACTCACCAGCTTTGTCGCCATCGAGAAACGAGAAAAGGTAATCACTAATGAAACTGGTAATTATTAACATACTGACTTTTTAAAGCAAAACTCTCAGATAATTTTCCATCTAAATTCTATGGATCTCACACCAAGAAGAACAACAGATCAGGATAATTTTTTTAGAATATTGTACAACTTTTCTTTATTATGATTTTACAATATGGTAGTCCTTTTGAGATTTATTTTATAAACTGATAACATCAACATTTTAAATGTAAGCACTTTTCTTAAATATTGACTCCTTATACCTTTAAATCTTTAGTATGTAGTATTCTTAGCCATTGAACGCTTACAGACACACAAGATTCCACTTTAAAATTCACAATTCATATAACTTTTTAATGGATCCCTGGATTAATTGATTTGCAGGATGAGGTTATCCCTGAGGATGCTCCAGATATTTGGGACCTCCTGGAAAATGAGGATGTAGATCAGCTAAAGTATTTATCATGGGAAGGAGAGGAGGTACATTGAATAGAACTCACATTAGAAAAGTCACATGACCACTGAATTCTATCAACATACATTTATCATATTTATTCTACCATGCTTAATTTTCATAGATAGTTTGGTAAACTTTTCATTATTTCTAAGTTTGTTCATTTTACAACTTTTGTAAATTTTTATGTTAACTTTTTAATTTTCTGTTCGATAATCATATTATATGGATTCACAAGACCTGCTACATTTCAGACAAATATATTGACTTTTGATTGCTCTGTTTACCTTATAACACAGAGGGCTCATGGAGGGTATAACTGATTGACATGGGGATGCTTGCTTCTCCTAGGCCCCTGATCCCGACTCTGGTGTATTACCAGGGTTCCATGTTTTTATGGCCTGTTCACATTTTGTGTTATGTAAAGGATTTATGAGATAAATCACTGATCGTTGTCTTCACCTCTAGTCATAGGAGTATACAATGGAATGTACATACATGTGATCTATAACAACTGTTTCTTATACCAACAGAAAAATAGGAGAAGAATAAAAAATTCAATGTGAAATAAGATATATATTTATATTTTGTTTTCTACCTAGGATGAGAGTTCACCTCTAGTCATAGGAGTATACAATGGAATGTACATACATGTAATCTATAACAACTGTTTCTTATACCAACAGAAAAATAGGAGAAGAATAAAAAATTCATTGTGAAATAAGATATATATTTATATTTTGTTTTCTACCTAGGATGAGAGTTCACCTCTAGTCATAGGAGTATACAATGGAATGTACATACATGTAATCTATAACAACTGTTTCTTATACCAACAGAAAAATAGGAGAAGAATAAAAAATTCATTGTGAAATAAGATATATATTTATATTTTGTTTTCTACCTAGGATGAGAGTTCAGAGAGCTCAAGCGATGAAGGAGAAACGGAAGAGTCTTCCACAGTAAATTTTATTTTCATTTAATGTAAATCCAAGATGGAAAAATAATTTTTGTTTGATCTTCAGCTACTGTTGAAGAATTGCTTTGCAATGATTTTCGAAATTTACCAACAGCTTTTTATCATGGCTGTACATTAGTTTAAGATAAAAAAAAATATTTCCATCTTTGATTTATATTGAAAATAAAGTTTTAAGGTAAAAGAGCAAGTAATATCAGAATACCAGTGATTCTAAACAACAAAAATTCAGAAGTTGAGTCATTTTCATTTACCAATTAACAAGGATGATGAATTGCTGACGATTTTGTCAGAATCAAGGAAAAGGTAAAGATGAAATTATTTTGGAGAGGATCACATATTCAGAAAAGTTCATATTTGGTGGCATTTATTCCTGTATTTTATTTGTATCCTTTATATCATACATTGCAGTAAAATATGGCTCTAATATGTGAAGAAAAAATGCAGTTTTATAGATTTTGCAATTTACATGCATAAATAGGAACATTCATTTCCATCATTGTAATACCCAGAAACACAATTAATTTTTGAATTTGCATCATGATAATTAAAAAAACACAGTACAATGGAATTTTTAACTATAACAGTACTTTAGAGAGGGAGTTAAAAGGGGGGGGGGGGTTAACCATTTTTCTGTTAACCTGCTTAACATTCAGAAATATTTCTAATTAAACATTAAAGCAGAATAAAGAATTTCTATGCAGCAATTTCAGTTGTCCTTGAAAAGAAGTTGAAAATATGAAAAAGTGTACATATAACATAAGACAGACAAATAGACAGACAGACATAAGCACAATATAAACTTTTAGAACAGAAAAACTCACTTGGGCCTTTCCCTCAGCTAGCTGAAAGCCAATTTTTTCAAATGTATAGAGCATATTTGTAGCATGTACAGACATGGTAAGGATTATATTGACCTTGACCTCTTGAATATTTTTTACAGGAAGGTGAGGGAGAAGGGGAAGAGGAGGAAGAAGAATGTGAGGAAGAAGGAAGAAAGAAATCACATCATCTTACAGCAGAGGAGGAGGATGTATGTCCAGAAAGTTGTACAGTAAAACTTGTCTAATCTGTACACCACTGGCTCCATAGAAATTGGCTGACTAGACAATATTCCAGATAAGATGACATTTTTAACAAATTTACTGAAAGGGACTTAAAGTTAACATCATATTAGGCAAGATTTTGGAATACACTATGTCCAGATTAGACAAGTTTCACTGTATATACAATTGAGGCTTATTTTCTACAGGAAATTGTCTAGTATAATGAACCATACCTTTTAGCTCACCTCAGCCAAAGGCTTATCAACGTGTTGTTGGGACCAAGAATCAAATCTGTACCTCTCTGTGATGAAGCAAATACACTTATTGTCTAGTAATAGGCTAACTGAAAACTATTTGAAAAAAAAAAAATTAAAATAAAATCAAGGATTCAGTTAGTTATATGAATATACATGTTCAAGTTAAGTAATATAAATACAGGAATATTTTTGAAACTCTCCTGCTCAGAAACAGCATTGAAGTATTTATTATGTAAATATACAAGCTGTCAGTTTTGTTCAAATCATGGCCACTGGACTTGGATAGGGTACATGTACAATAAGATTTTTGATATAATGCAAAACATTTTACTAGACATTTTTAGTATTCTTTTTATTATAAATAATATAGAACAGTAAATCTAGATTTACACATTGTGAAATATAGGAATCTGGGTATTTTTGGATTTGAATGGTTAAACTTGACATGACTAGGACATTTTTCATATTCAGGTTTCTCACGACCAGAGTATGATTCAACTTTCTGCCAATAACATCCAAGAAAATTGAATCCAAAAGCATTTTCTCTCTGTAAAATGTCTTGAGAAAGATTGAGTTCTTTTTTAATCTCTCTGTCAGTATTTTATCTTTCTTTGGTTTCTTTGAGTTGTTTTGCAGGAAATTTTGATCCAATGAAAATATAATAATTATATTTGATTTATTCATTGGAAGATATGGTACTTGCTTAAAATTTTTCTGTTATAACAAAAAGTTAATTAAACCAATGTTAATTTTTATTTTATTTCCAGGAGGAAGAATATGAAGATGCCTACAAAGCCTTTCAAATTGTAGAACCGGATTGCATGGTATGTTAAGTTGATGATACTGTATACAGGGAAAATTTTGTCCCTGTTTTATTTTCGCCCCTTTTGGCCCCACTCACAGGTGGGCAAATTTAAAATGGAGCGAATTCAAAAAACACTGTATGATTTCTTGAACAGAATTCTGACTGGGTGAATTTAAAACGGGGCAAAATTGTTTCCAGTTGTGAAAGGGCGAAAATAAGACGGGGCGAAAATAACCCGGCTTGTATACAGTGTTCATTTCATGTTCCACGATTATCTTTGGAAACCTTAAATACGTATATGTACTGAAAACCAACTATTATTCGCGAAATTATGTCATCCCAGATGAAGTCTGGGAAACATATTGCTATTGTTCGACCAATATTGCTGTGTGCACAATTTCTCAAAGATGGCTTTGTCAATTTTGCTGAAACTCCACTGTCATAATAATCACTAACTAAAGATGTGTAATCTTTCTTCAAATTTTTCAAAATGGCCATGTTGCTGTGGAAACTGATAAAAGGTGGAATTTTTTAATAATCTTCTTTCTTGGCTGCTTTTAATCATAATGATATCTTTTTGAAAATTTAAAGAAGTGTTCCTTGCCTCCTGTCAAACTAAAAGAATTTAATAGGCAAAAAAATTGGGAAAAGGATGGACAGAAAATACAATTAATGTAAGAAAAGTTGATGTCAGTTTTGTGATAAATTGCGAGTTATCGTGTCCTGCAAGTTTCTCGAAAATGGCCTCGACAAAATTACTGAAAGTTTATAGACATGATAATCACCACATGTAGTTGTGTTAAAGTCCTTTTAAATTTTCAGATTTGTCACTGTTGCCATGGCAACAGACAAAAAATAGTCATATTTTTTAGATTTCGTTTTTTCTGTAATTTTTCATAATACCGTAAATCTGGAAATTTTTATGTCGCTTTATTTTTGCGAATCTGGGTCAAAAAGCTGTTGATTAATTTTTACGTTTCAAATTTTTGCGAATTGCCATTGGTGTTCAATTGAAAAGCGCTTAAAATTTTCAAAACAGTTTATACGTAATGCAGGTACATACAAAAAATCACGCATGTACTCGTACATGTACGTATACAATAATAAGCGATGCCAACGTTCAATAATCAGATTATAAATTACGCATATATACATACAATAAATTACGCATCTACATACAATATTAAACGATTGCAATGTTCAATAATCAGATAAAAGTATTAAAAGCAATAAAACATCTAAACTGTTTAAAGTTGTCATAACATTTTATTAAATCACGCATGTACATAAAACGATGTCAGCTTTAACTAACCTTCAAATAAAAACATTCTCTACCGGGTATAAGAAGAGAAAAATGTCTAATTAATATTGAATTACATAATATATATAAAACTGGCCTCTCTTTCTTGGAGAAATAATTTAAAAGAGACACAAATGTAGTGAAGACACTTTCCATACACGGTTTATCACGGGTAATTAGCTTGTAGTATAAACAGGTTTCTTAAATTGGCTACTGCTTATGAACACCTGTTCACTGGGTTAAAAAAAATAGCCACAAGCTGTCGGCAAACTTTGTGTTTACATTTTTTGTTGTTGATTTATTTTTAAGAAAAATATTTTTGCGAATGCAATGCACACGCAAATTTGCTAAAAATTTATCTACAGTAAAAATTTCCAGATTTACGGTATCTGTCTTGTAACCTTATTGAGGTGTTAGTCGCATCCTATCAAAGTGATTCCTGCAGAATAATTGATCAGAATGAACGAAAAGAACTAATCAATAATTTTTAAAAAAAAGATGCAGTCAAGTCATCTATTTCACGATGTTTCCTCACATGGTTTTGTCCTTGAATGTTCTCCTAGACAGCTTTGACAATATTATTGAAACCTTCCACAGAAATAATTATTATAATCACTATTCGTAGTTTTGCAAAACCTTATTTAAGATTTCCTCCAACGTTGCCATTAGAATAGAAAAAATGATTTAAGTGCAGTTTCCTGAAATGAGTGGCCAAAAAACGTTGTGTAAACGTTTATGTTTCATCTTTTTAAAATTGTGATTTATTCAATTTCTTTGTTCTCTTACTTTCTTTTTCCATGATAATCATAGGGTACATAGAGGTCCGACTATGAAGCTTTTATATATTATCAGTTTTTGATATGATTTAGAGGATTCCGAAATGAATTATCTTTAAGTTAGCATTAATTTTCAAAAAAAAAACCTAGGACCAACATTTCTTAAACACTACAAACTATTCATTTTATTTTCATTTAAGTAATTTATGGGAACGTTATTAGAGTAATGCACACAAGTATGTTATTGTGTAGAGGCAAAACTTCTCTTGTGATGGAGAAGAGACAGAAAACCTTTCTATTTCCATAGCAAAGATTATTTCGTAAATTAAAAGGATTGTTTATATGTTGTGTGTGCATATTTATTTCCCAATAACATACTTGTGTGCATTACACACACAAAACAGCGAGATAGATACGCAAGATATAAAATTAACGAGTGATAGGGAGATGTTATGAGTTTCATTAATAAAATTCAGTTCCGCTGAGGTGATCTGATAAAAGTAGATTTCGAAACTTGTGGATATCTCTCGCACACGAATAAAAGTTGTTTTACAGTAGATAAGTGTCTGTTTGTAAGCAAAAGTACATGTATTACTTTGCATTAGTACATATACTGTACAGTACCATAATATTGGTCAGTCTTATTCGAAAAGGATAGCATAAAATAAACCTTTTGGCAACATGGTAACAGTCATCTTTATTTTCAAGATGAACATTTTCATATGTTGAAGATTTCACCATTTAACAAATTTATGTGATAGTGTCTAAATGTTAAATTTAAGATTAAAGAATGATCATAAGTGGTAAAAATCTTCTTTTGAAGAACAGCTAGGCCATGGTTACTAGGGTGAGAATTATGGGCCATGGGTCTCCTTTAGAACATTCAGTCATTGTACAGTTTTTATCATTTAATACCCAAAAAAAGGTTTAATTTGTAAAATTCCTTTTACACTTTTTTCCCCGCAGACTGGCTTATTAATATTAGCTTTTCTGATACAAAAGTGTCTTTCATCTTTCTGTCTGTCTAACATCGTTAATCAGTCAAACTTAGTGACACAAAATATGTGCAGTGAAAAAGAATTAATGGTCCCTTAACAGGACAAGTAATGAAGACACATGCAATTTAACCATGGCGAAGAAAAATCTACTCGGTGACATTTACTATTCGGGCTAGAGCATAAGTGAAAGCTTCATAATGTTTTTAAGATTTAATTTAATTGTTGAAATATTGAACCCAGAGGACAGAATAAGGGTGAGGTCTGATATACAAAGGAAAGGTTCTTTTGAAATCCTTTTAAGAACAGCCAGGGCATAGTTGCACATTAATTTTCATTGTTCTGCAGAATCAGATTTACTGGTACAATAGAAGAACACACTTTTTTTAAACAAAATGCAAACATTTAGACATTCTTTTATAAAAACACAATTATAGTCATCTAAAATTTTACCTTTTGATTAACAAAATCCAGGTATTTTCATTAAATGAATTGTCAAAATATGACATTTTAATGTTAATTAAAGACTGCTATTTTTATGCCCCCTGATTGAAAGATCCTGGGGGTATATTGTTTTGGTCCCGTCTGTCTGTCTGTTTGTCTGTCTTTCTGTCTGTTGTCAACTTTAACCTAGCCCATAACTATTGCGCTGTCAAGGGTAAGACTTTAATATTTGACATGAGTGTTCATTATGACAGGACCTTTCCATTGGTACAGAAATTTTTGATCATGTGACCTCAACTGTGACCTTTGATCTACATTTGAAAAACTTTAACATTGGCCATAACTATTGCACTGTAGTCTACGTCCCACTCCAGAATTGTGTTACCATCGGGGGCATAGTGTTTCACAAACACATCTTGTTTAATTTTTTTTTTATACAAAAGTGTTGCAATCTTCAACAAATTACATTCAATAAGATTCAAATAGGTAAATTCTAAACATTTTCCTTAAAGAATATGGCTTTAAAAATAAAAAGGAATGTGTATTTATGCATGTCCCTTTCCTAAATTTCTTCATTTTTCTCACAGAAATGTTTGCTAATCAACATCACCGGTTTGGGATGTTTGGTTCTTGTTTTAAAGGAGTCAATTTATAAGAGAAGTCACTTTAGCTAATGGTCAGTTTTTTATTCTCTCCTCAGGAAGAAGGTATGGACATTGAAGAGGATGATGACGTATATATGGATTCTGTGGTATGTTTATGATATATTTATATTTATGTCTCATGGTTACTAATGGAGATCAGTCAGGGGCATGATGGAATCAAGTTATTTTTTAAAATAACCTTTTTAGGTTACTTCACTTATTTATTACTAAACAAGGAAATAACTCATTTGAGTTTGAGTTAATTCTTAAAACCTAGAATGCCTATGAATTTTGCCAAAAACCATCAATATTTTGAGTTTGCTGCTGATTTAAGATGATGTAAGGCTGAGAAAATTGTAAATATATGTACTGCTTTTAATAGACTCGACAGACTTCATATTTCCTGAGCAGATACGATGATATTTATCAAAATATCATGATATTTTTCAGGAAAAATAATTCCATTTCATGAACATTTCAGAGGTCAATTACACAACTTCCACCAATTTTGCCAACAGTGAGACTAATTTTCCTAAAATCCTTGGATATTACTTTACAATCTCTATGTCTTGCATTTTTTGTGCAAAGCTGTAGAATTTTTGTGCAAGAGTTCTAAAGTGAGGTTGGTTAAGGTTTAAATAACTGAAATAAGTTATGATTTGTTGAATTTCAACTTGATAAATCTTAAAGATACTAGATTACTTTAACTGTCATGAACCTTTTCCATCTACTTAATAACCCAAGTACAGCATGAATAAAGCTTTTCAGATACCAGTAGGTTTAAAATAATGAATAGTAAAGTATCAATAATGGGAATAAGTTACTGAAGAAAAGCATAATCAGGGAAAGATAACCCAAAATAATGACATTTAATAACTTAAACAAATTATTTTAAAAATAACTTGTTTCCATGATGCCCTTGACTGGAGATCTAGAATGTATCTCCAAGGGGTGATGATCAAGAAAAGACAAAAATAGGGTGGGGTCATTAACAAATCTTCTTCTCAAGAACCACTGGGCCAGAAAAGCTGAAACTGATGTGCAAGCATCCTGAAGTAGTGTAAAATCTAATTGTTCAAATCATGACCCCTGAGGGCAGGACAGGGCCACAATAGGGAATCCAATTTTATATAGGAAAATATTTAAAAATATTCTTCTCTAGAACCACTAGGCCAGAAAAGCTGAAACTTATGTGAAAGCATCCTGAAGAAGTGTAGATTCCTAATTGTTCAAATCATGACCCCCAGGGGTAGGGCAGGGCCACAATAGGAATTCCAATTTTTACATAAAATATGTAGGAAAAATCTTTAAAAATCTTCTCCAGAACCACTGGGCCAGAAAATCTGAAACATTTGTGGAAGCATCCTGGTTAGTGTAGATTCTAAATTGTTCAAATCTTGACCCCTGGGGGTAGGGCAGGGCCACAATAGCTATAAGAAGGGGGAAATCAGGTGAACAGCAGGGCCAAAGTTACTCAGGTGAGCGTGTAGCCCATGGGCTTCTTGTTTAGCTCAGTTTTCAAGATACCATTCAAGATAGTGTAATCAAACTTTATATGCTAATACATACTATGTAAGCTTTTCAACTGCTTCAGTATTTTTTTACCTTGACCATTCTTTTTGACGTTGACCTCCCTTTTCTTAAATTAGACTAAGTGTATAGATAAGTTTTGAACAAACAATTCAAGATATTTTTATCAAGCTTTATATGCTGAAACATACTGATAAGAGCTATCAATTGCATCAACATTTTTTGACCTTGACTTTTCCTTTGACCTCACTTTTTTAAATTAGTGTTTATCTTAGTTTAAAAAAAATTCATGATATTTTTTTTATCAAACTTCATATGCTAATACATACTGATGTAAGCTTTTTCAACTGCATCAACATTTTTTGACCTCAACCTTTCCTTTGACCTTGACCTCTCCTTTCTTAAATTAGTGTTTAGCTCAGTTTTAAATAAACCATTCAAGATATTTTTATCAAACTTAATATGCTGATATGTATTAATAAGAGCTATTCAACTGCATCGAAAACTTTTCACCTTGCACTTTCCTGTGACCTTGACCTCCCTTCTCTTTAATTTGTATTTTGCTTAGTTTTAAAGGAACCATTTAAGATGTTTTTATGTAAGCATGTACTTATACATAATCTGTTGAGAATTTATCATCTTTTTTTAGATTTCAATTTCAATTTTAAAGAAACTGTTTAAGATATTCTCATGAAACTTCATACACTAGTTCAAATTTTCATGTTGCATTAGTAATATACACTTGGCGGGGCATTCATGTCCTATGGACATATTTCTAGTTTCTTAATGTTATTAATGAGATAGCAGGGATTTAAATTCTCATTATAAGTGAACAATACTGAGCATCGGTTTGAAGATCATTTTATAAAATACAATGGCTCTACAAATCTTCTCCTCTGTATCCTGCCTCCTGGGTTCAACTGGGCAACAACATTGTTAACACATAGACAAGTAGACAACTATAGAGAGTAGACAAGTGCAAACAACAAATACCACTTTTTAACTTCCTTAAGAATATAAATTAATGTTTAATAATATATAATTAGATTCAAGTCTTCAGTGTTTAGAGTTTATTAACTTTACATATAGGAGACATGTGAGCTTAACTTTAATATTTATTTTTCCTGTAAGTGTCTATTACTTATCAAGAAAAATACAAAAGAAGCCTTGGAAGGTGCTAAATTCATAGTTTTTTACATCACCAAGAATAAAAGGAATACAACGTCTATAGTCCACTTCAACTTTCATCTAGACTGGACATTATATATTTTGGGATTTTAATCCCATATCAAGTGTTTCTGAAATCATGTACTGTAGGTCACTTGATTTTCATGACACCTCATTTTCATGAGATAGTCATTAACTCGTTTTAAATGAGACAAAATTTTCATGAATTGCGGTTATTGCTCTATATAATGTCAAGAAATACTTAAATATGCGAGAATGAAATTTTTGTGAGGACACTATCTCGGGTAATTATGTGAAAATAAAGTTCTCATGAATAAAAAGTGATTTACAGTAAGTAAGCATTTCATTCTTAATTAAAATGCAAACTGTACATAATAAAGTTATATTTCCAGAAATTTCAAAGGAATGATGTCTGGGAAATTCAACAAATTATGAAAGAAAACATTGAAAACGTACTAGAGAGGGGTGAAAAACTAGACAGTTTAATTGAGAAATCAGAACTTATGGTTAGTTGATTGCATGTTTTATATGCATGTTTATTTTCTATTTGACTGTGTCTGTAAATGTAAATATGAATTTGCTGTTGTTGGGTAACACTGCATTCTTCCAAATGCACAATATTGTTGACAATGCAGAAAAATGTCCGTATATTTGATATGAAAGATTCAAAATAGTTGTTGTATTTGGACTAATGATGAGTTATTTTTTAAGGAGGCATCACCAGTCGTGATGGACATGGGTTCACTTTTGATGAAGGCGGGATTTGCTGGAGACCACGCCCCCCGAGCAGAATTTGAGACAACTGTTGGACGTCCCCGACATCAGGGCGTGATGGTTGGCATGGGACAGAAAGATTCATATGTTGGAAAAGAGGTTACAGGTTAGGAATTTTGTAACTTTAATAAAAAACCCTTTCTTGTATCAGTACATGTAATGGGAATTCAATTTAAGTTATCACTTCAGACTATTTTTATCAAAGCTTTTCTTACTTTTAAGTGTGATGTTCTACTTTCTATTGTTTATTTATCTTTCAAGTTCTTAAATAGTTCTTATTTGAGTTGAAATTTTTGCATAATATTAAAAAATAATGATTTTTACCATAATGTCTTAGGAATTCCAAAATCACCAGATTATTAGGACAAATGTACTGCTGTATGATATTATTTGCTTGATAAAGAATTTGATACATTAAGTACAAGAAATGAATAAAAGTTTTTTTATAGGAACAAAACCTGTTGTAGGAAGAGTTTTGGAAGAGTATTCTTCAAAACATATATTTATGGAAGGTAATGCTTTATTTCTAATAAGGAAGCCTTGCTGCTAAGAACAAAATTAATATTACCAAATTAAAACTACAGAAATTGTATTTAAGAATGCCATGGTCACATTAAAATAAAAAATGCATATAAAGAAATGAGAACATATGTTCACGGGTATTTGAAAAAAAGTGTTTTTTATGACAATGACTATAAAAATTGTCACCTGAAAAAAATCATGAGCATACATTTCATAATATTTTTAAGCTTGATGTAATTTCATCACCATTAAAGCAAATTTTAAAGGTGTTTTACACCATTTCAATAACCTATATTGTGATAAGAACAAATTAATATTACACATAGTAACGTATTTGATGTTGGCAATGATAAGATAAATGTAGCATGTATTTTAGGATATCAGTTGACATATCTCATTGAGTTTACAATAAGTTGTTTGCATGGTTATAATTAACATTAATAACCATCTATCAAAATTTTGAAATTCAAGGCTTCTTGACTTTATGGTGCAATCCCAAGTAAAGAACTAAGTTGGTCATTTGTTAAACATATGACAGGTTTGAAAATCTTGTTTCTCATTTACATGTTGCAGAGCAAATTTAGAACACAAGCTGGATGAATGTGTTAAAAGATGAAAGCTTCAATACACAGCACTTTATTTTTCTTCTGTGTCCAGACCTGTTTCTAGTGGGATCACAATAATCTTAGCATAAGAATTCCATGATACTTGGGTGGTCTCAACCTGATCAGTAGTCTAACTTGAGTAATGGTCTTAACCATAACAGGAGTCTAATCTTAATCTGAGCAGTAGTCTTAACCTGATCAGTTGTCTAGCCTGAGTAGTTGTCTTAACCTGATCAGTTGTCTAACCTAAGTAGTTGTTTTAACCTGATCAGTTGTCTAACATGAGCATTTGTCTAATGTGAGCAGTTGTCTAACCTTAGCAGTTCTCTTACCTGAGCTGTAGTGTTATAACCTGAGCAGAGGTCCTAACCTGAGCAGTAGTCTAAGCCTGAGCTGTAGTCTTTACCTTAGCAGTTGACTAAACCTGATCAGTAGTCTTAACCGGAGCAGAAATCTTAACCTGAATAGTTGTCTAAGCCTGAGCAGTAGTCTAACCTGAGCAGTGGCCTCAGCCTGAGCAGTTGTCTTAACCTGAGCAGTAGTCATAGCCTGAGCAATAGTCTTTACATGAGCAGTTGTCTTATAACCTGAGCAGAAGCCTTAACCTGAGCAGTTGTTTTAACCTGAGCTGTAATCTAAGCTGAGAAAATCATTGATAATACTCGGGTGTCAAACAAGACCCATGAGCAACTTGTCCAAACTTCATGAAATGTATGAAAGACAAGTGTAGTAAAACTTTCAAGTCTTGAATGCATGTAAACATAGGGACTACTGGTGAAACTGTAGAATACTTTCCACATGTTTAACTCTTTTAAGTTTGTTAACATAATATTGAAATAACAAAAGACACTGTTTATAGAATGTTCCAGACTTTTTGTTTTTAGAAGACATTGGTGGAACTTTGGAATCCCCTGAATCAGAATATGAGGGATCCTCGGAGGAAACCCCATTTAAGAGTTTGTAATTTTAGTATTATTTTTTTTACCAATATACATTACTTAATAAGATAAAAGAAATGTAAAACTTTTTTGTGACACTTGCATTGCACACAAATTCTATGCTAAAAAAATTTAAAATATCTTTCTTAACAGGACCTAATTTTAATTTCAATCCTGATTTTTGTTTCCCCCCGGGTCATGAGGATTGGACAAGTGAACGTATGTATTACTTTGCTTCCTTTATTACAGTAAGGTAAAAATTCAAATAGAAGTACACTGCCTACCAATTTTTGTGTAATTATACCCCACGCAACAAGTTGCGGGGGTAAAATGTTTTTGACCCGTCAGTCAGTCAGTCAGTCCTGTTTTTTTGTCGGCGCAACTCCTCATAAACGGCTGCACAGAATTTCGTCAAACTTTGTAGATATTTATGACACAATGTGTAGATGTGCTTATTACCAGGAAATTCCGATTCCCTTATTTTTCTGGGAATTTCGGCACTTTTCAACTTATATTTTTGGCCATATCTTGAATATAGAGATGAACAGTTTGTCAGCGCAACTCCTCTTAAACCGCTGCACAGAATTTGGTCAAACTTTGCAGATATTTAGTACACAATGTGTAGATGTGCATATTACCAGGAAATTCCAATTCCTTTATTTTTCTGGGAATTTCGGCACTTTTCAACTTAGATTTTTGGCCATGTCTTGAATATAGAGATGGACAGTTTGTCAGTGCAACTCCTCTTAAACCGCTGCACAGAATTTGGTCAAACTTTGCAGATATTTAGTACACAGTGTGTAGATATGCATTTTACCAGGAAATTCCGATGCCATTATTTTTGCCCTAAGAGTTTTGCCTATTGTTGAAGAAACTTTCCAGCTAGGTAATAAGGAAATCCACTGGAATCAGCTTTTGTAATGAAATTTTATGTGAAATATTTTATGACCTCAAAAGACCCCTATTGATTTTGAGATCAAAATATTAATGATTTAACAAACACACAAAATCTTGGAAAGTTCTCCCCCCCCCCCCCCCCCCTTTTTTTTCAAATTGGTGCTTTGCCTTAAATAATTTCATAAGTACAGTATATAAAGAAGTTCATATGACTACATCATGATTTTGTTTCCATCAATTATTTAAATGTGTAAATTGTCATGTGCTGGACTTACACTCATTAACAAATCGAAATCACTGAGGAATTTAAATAACAGTTTGTCAGCATAACTCCAGCATTGAATTTCCTGAAACTTTGTAGGTCATGTAGGTATTTCAGACATAATGTATAGATTTGTATATTACCAAGAAATTCTGATTCCATTATTTATTTACAAACTTCAGCCCAGTAAAATTGGTAACATACAAAGATTTGAATGTTCTTATATGCAAGAAGTTTTGATATGATGATTTTTTGCAAGTAATGCCCCTATTTGAATTATACTGTGTATTTAAAATGCACTGTGCCATTCATTACGTGTTGCATTGTCGAGTTTTGGAGGAGCTTGGGGTATGTGAGCTTGCTCACTTTTTCTTTTCTTTTTTATTTGATTTAGCGGACATATTAAGTAAAAATCGTTTATAAAGGACTTGCATATAGAGAAATACCAGTTTTCAGGAAACTTTTACAATCCCAATGGAAAACTTTCTACTCTCACCCTTAGGCTATTGTAATTTAGATACAAGACAAGTGGTCTTGGATGACTCATTCAAATGTTGTAGGTAGAACCAGT